TCAGCAATTCTCAACCTGTGAAGTGTGATATTTTCTGAGTGAAGGACCCTTTCAAAGGCATTGTATATCTGATATCCTGAATATCAGATATTTACATCATGATTCATAACAGTAGCAAAATTACAATTATGAATTAGCAATGGAAATGATTTTATGGTTGGGTATCATCACAACATAAGGAACTATGGTAAAAGGGTTGCAACATTAGGAAGGTTGAGAACCACTGATCTAGGTAAAATCTAAAATGTATTAAGCTAAAGGTGAATATTTCTTGGGTGGATACAAGGTTATCTACATGGTATTATGAATAGGGTATTCCTTGAGACTTTAGTAGTGATGGGTAAAAGGACCCAGAAAGTCAATATAAGTGAAGGTAGACCTCTGATGTCTGTACCCAAGTGTCCCTTTGGGATTGCATGCTATTTTATAACTTTTAGTCTCTGTAATTAATTAGCCTCATGCTTCTCTTTCCCTTCAATGTTGAATGCCTTGGTAAGTTTATGTATGACATATCATATTTGTTTCTAAATGGTAGTTTTTTGTCAAGTTCTGAATTTCTTCTGGCAATTTTCTGTACTGATTCTACTGTAAAACACAGGTTTGTTGCCAATTTAGATTCAGAGTTGATTTCCCTGAATCAACTATTCATTTTTGGTCCATTCAGCTGGAGTCAATGAGTTGTGAGAGCACATCATTTGTAGGACTTCAGGGTCTCACCTCTCAGAGACAGGGAGATTGTTGGAGTGAAGTCCATGGTTGGCTTTAAAATGTATCTACTATAGTGATTCCATTGCATTGCTGGGGTTGTAAGTTATTATTCTAACACCAACATCTTTTTAGTATTCAGAAAGTATATAATCACAAACCAAGCAGCTAAAGAAAAGTCTGAAAGAACTATCTGGACTCCAAAAAATCTGTTATCATTCTGGCTTGTCTTAAGCTCATCTTTCTTTTGAAAATGTGGTCTTTTTGACAGTTTGTTCCCAGGCAAGGGGGACTACATTTATAAAGGACAGAGTATCTTTGAGGTCTTTAACTAATATGGATCTGTGATTATTGTGGCATATTTTAAAGGGCTTTTAAAATTACATTAACTTCTTTGAAAGGGTTATTTTCCTATAAAATCTGGTAGCACATCAATAACAGTGGCAAGTAAACAAGACTACATTGCTGTCAACTATTTCATAAGTAATGAAATTGGATTTCATTAAAGCTGATATGGGACTTTAGTTTCTACAATCTGATTCATATTTCATGGCCACACTAAAATAAGATAAAAAGGAGAAAGACCTGCATTTGGGGTTCCAACAGTTGTTTTGAGTTTGTGTTTTTGGAAAGTCCCTCCTTGGGGTCTCAAGGGTAGGAGGGTGACAGTGGTATTTCTTCCACACAAGCAACACTTGTACAATGCTACAGGAAGTTGTTGTTCTCCATCAAATGGCTTCTTTATAAAAAATTCAATCTTTGATGATGCCTTCATCTTTTAATGGGAAGGGGCATATATAGTAAACATGGATCTGTGAAACAGCATATTTGATCACTATTCAGAACATGGCATGACTATAGGCATGACAACTAAAAGCAAGAACACCAAATCTTTTACCCATACCATTCACTTTTGGAGTGAGAGACTTTTCTTACTCTCAGCATAAATCAAGGCTTTAAATGGTGTCTGTTACCTTAAACCAGTGGGTCTCAACATTCCTAATGCTGCAACCTTTAGTATACAGTTACTCATGTTGTGGTGACCCCCAACCATAAAATTTTTCCATAAAATTATTTTCATTGCTACTTTATAACTGTAATTTGCTACTGTTATGAGTCATAATGTAAATACAATTTAGCTTTTATGGAGATATAGGTTTACCAAAGGGGTTACAACCCACAGGTTGAGAACCACTGCCTTAGACAAAGGTGAACATGAAAAAGTTACTCTTCATAGTTTCAAGAGAATCACCAAATGATTGTTTTGTTATAGAAGCATGAAGGTTCTTACTCCCATTATTATGAGTGCAGAGCTATGAAAACTAGAGATGGACACAGGATTCTGTGAGCTTCAGGTTGGAATTGGGCTTTTCCTATTATCAATTGCATAAAAGTTATACCCCTTGTCAGTAAGCTATTTGAGTAGTGGGCCAGATCTTTTCTATTTGCCACTCCTGCTCTACATTCTATTTTTCCTTCTATGTCCTAGCACATTATGTTTCATAGACTGCCTCTATGGCTTCTCTTGCCAGTTAATGTCTAGTTGATTGTCTAGTTCAACCAGTGGGAGCTCCAGGATAAGCTAAGATGAGGAGGAGGAAAATGACTCAAGATTTGTATTCCTCTAGCTCCTTCCCTCACATTCCATTGTGAACTGGTTATGTCTACTGAAAACCAAAGTTCCCATCAGGTGGTAGATGTTCTTGTCTTTTCAACTTTAAGAGCAGCCATGACTATATATGTGTGATTCCTAGATCATGAGATTATCCATTGTAATAAAAATCCTTTAAATGGTCATTTGTAAAATCTGTTCTCTTTGACTTTCCTGTGGTATCCTAATATTCCCTCAAGATTTTCTCACCCCAGATCTACAGCAAGCCACCAGCACATCTTCAGATTAGACAGAACTCAACCAAAATGGCATTCATTAGAGGCGGTGGAAAAATGTGCTGCCAAAGAAAAGTTTTATGTTCCACTTCCTTCACAGTTTCTGGATGAGGAGACAAAACCTTTCTATGTATCTAGATATATAATTATAATAGCAAAGACACCTGGGAGAGATATTATTTTCTGTGTGTTTTCCTGTCATAGATAGTATACATCACTTCTGTTTTGCAATTGGAACAATTAAAATAGAACAGTAAGAATTTAGTTGAGATGTTCATAGCAGCACTATTTGTAATAGCCAGAACCTGGAAGCAACCTAGATGCCCCTCAACTGAAGAATGGATAGAAAAAAATGTGGTACATTTATACAATGGAGTACTACTCAGCAGAAAAAAACAATGGAATCTTGAAATTTGCAGTAAAATGGATGGAACTAGAAGAAACCATTCTGAGTGAGGTAACCCAATCACAAAAGACAAACATGGTATGTACTTACTCATATGTGGATTTTAGACATAGAGTAAAGGATTAACGGCCTACAATCCACACTGCCAGAGAAGCTAGTAAACAAGGAGGACCCTAAGAGAGACATACATGGTCACCTGGAGTAAGGGGAAGGGACAAGATCTCCTGAGCAAATTGGGAACACGGGCGGAGGGAGAAGGGTGCTAGGAGAATGAGAAGGGGAGAAGAGGTGGGGTGAGGAGGACATGAGGGAGCAGAAAGTTGAGTCGGGGGAAGAATAGAAGAAAACAAGAAAGGAGATACCATAATAGAGGGAGACATTTTAGGTTTACAGAGAAATCAGGCACTAGGGAAATGTCTGGAGATCTACAAAAATGACACCAGCTAACAATCTAAGCAACAGAGGAGAGGCTACCTTAAATGACTTCCCCTGATAATGAGATTGATGACTGACTTATATGCCATCCTATAGCCTTCATCCAGCAGCTGGTGGAAGTAGAAGCAGACACCCACAACTAATCACTGTACTCAACTGGAATCCATTTGCAGAGAAGGATGAGTGATATGCACAGGGGCCCAGACCAAGCTGGTGAAACCCAGAGAAACAGCTGACCTGAACAACGAGGAGCTCTTGGTCCCTAGATTGATAGCTGGGATACCAGCATGGGACTCATCCAGACCCCAGGAACATGGGTTTCAGTGAGGCAACCTCAGAAATCTACGGGACCTTCTATAGTAGTAGTTCAGTACTTATCCCTAGCATAGGGCTGGACATTGGGAGCCCATTCCACATAGAGGGATACTCCCTGAGCCAAGACACACGGGGTTGGCCTAGGCCCTATACCAAAGGATATGATAGACTCTGATGACCCCCTTTGGAAGGCCTTACCCTCCCTGGAGAGCAGAAAGTATATGTGATAGGTAGGGTATTAGTTAGAGGGGTGGTAGGTAGGAGGGGAGGAAGTGGGAACTGGGATTGACATGTAAAACAATCTTCTTTCTAATTCAAATAAAAAATAAAGTTAAAAAAAGGCAAAAAAGAATTTCGTTGATAAAATGTTCCCCTAGCAATGCTATTGATGAATAAGTGACAGAACTGACATTTTGGATTTTTTCAGGTATCCCAGTTGTGTAGATATACACACAATGAATATGGAGATCTGGTTCCATTTGGCTCCTTTGATATGGGCTTCATCAATTAAGTCTCTTTATAGCAGACTCTCATCTTTTATTTTCCCTCCAGTTGTCTATTGAATCTCAATATTCATATCATTTGAGAAATCTTTGGAAAGTAGACAAACTGGCAGCCTAGAGGCAGGATTCCCAGTGAAAGCAAATAGCATTCCTAGAGTGATGCAACCACACAATGGGTGGACAGAAGCTTTGGAAGGCGGCCAGATGATATAATGTCTTGGATTAAGGCCATGCTGATAGGGGAAGAATGAAACATGGTTTCCAGGTGGTGTGTTTATTGCTTTTGATTTTGTTTAGAGAGGAAAGCTGTCCAAAAGAGATGAGTTTGGGGAAAAGAAAAAAGACTATATTGTGTTTTGTAGATAGCATATTGTAGTGTTGACATCATAATCAATGAATTACCATCAGTCATGAGTAGGAATAGATATACACATGTATATGTCACTGCTGTAGCATTTTGCCAGATCATTACAAGATGCAGTTTGCATGGAATTATTTCTCTTAGTGTACTTAAAGAGTCATGATAATTGCAGTTTTGGCTCTCTCCCACTCTCTCAGACATTGTTGATGACAAAAAAAAACAGCTCACTCTCCATATGCCAACATTCCAGGCAGCGCTGGGATAGGATGTCCATGGAAAAGGATTAGGCACACAGACACTCATCTGACTAGGACATTTTAGAGGGGTCACAACTCTGAAGTTTATGAAGAGTTTGAGTTTGTGAAAAGAATCTTATATCTCCTTGCAGGCAGGACTTCTGGGCATGTCCACAGCAAATAGAAGACTAATTACTGGTGTTTCCGCACTATGAAATACTCAGCCACTTGGCCTGCTCCTTCAAAGATGCCAGATGTTAAGAGACCCATGTATCCTCAGATATTGGATTCCCAGCCTGGAGAGATTCTGTGTCTCAAACCAGCATCTGACCACTTTGTATATTCCTTGGTAGGTACATGATACCCTAACAAATATATGTTTTCCAACTGTGATGCCTGTTACCTTTAGTGAGCACTTATTCTGCACAGTACTTTAACTGTGAAGAGCCTCTGAAGGAAGAGATGCCCCAAGTAATGGCTTGAGCACACTGATATTTTACAACCATACTCAACTATAGCCATGCATCCCCAAGTAGGGAAGTAGCAGATAGTCATCACATGAAGCTCCATATTCATAGCAAATATAGTTTTTCAAGGGATTCTTGGAAAACAGTGTTCATTGTAGGACCAAGGTTTACCCTGTGGCACAACTCAATAAACCTATGAAGTAGGGACTGAGTTTCAAGAGACAGATGTTCAAGGGGTTGTATTTATTAATATTTTCCTACAAGACACTGCCAAGATTTCTTCTTTTCACTATTTTACAGTTGCTCAAAACACTTAGTGACATGACCTAACATTTCATGATAGTTGCAGAAGACTAAAAGCAGTGACTCCCCCCCACAGTAACTGGAGAGATCTTTCCAATTGCTTTTTTTAAAGTTTTCTTTGCTACCATTTATCACCTCACCTCTATTGACTCTGCCTTCTAAATTTTAGTCTTTCAACCTGTGTGGCTTGCTTTCCCTAAGAACTCTCTTCAGTACACAATCTCATATATTTCAATTCCCTAGTGCTTGTCATTGCTTAGGAAACAGGGAATGAAAATGACTTCTTATATTTACTACATTTCCTGTTCTTGCAGGATTATTCTACCAAGAAGTGCTTTGGAGATAGACATTTGGCTCACAGAAAAGCATCCTTTGTTTATAGGCAAACAGGTATGCAATATGAAACTAAAATAGGAAATTATTCTTTGCATTCAATGCTAGCTAGTGATTTAGAGGGCCATTTAAAATGAAACCAGCTTGGAATCAGGTGTTATTCTCATTCAGTTGATGGAGTCCTTTCTACCAAGATCATCATAGAAGCTAATGTTGTTTCCCAAGCCTTTTAATGAGTCCTTCAAACCTTTTAGGAAGCCACTACTGCAACATCCTCAAAATCTTGAGCTCTGGAATGCCCAAATTACAGAAGAACTATCTATTTTCACCTTAACCTTTCATGTTTGAATTTCTTTAAAATATTAAATTATTTTTTTCTAACCCAATCACAGTTTCCCCTCCCTCTCTCCTCCCTTCCTAGCCTCTACCCCCAGTCTCCACTATCCCCATACCCATTCCCATCCACTCCTCCTTTCTCTTTAGAAAAGGGTAGGCATTCCTTGTATATCATCCACCCTTATTATGGTAGAGTCTCTTCATCATCTACAAAAGAGCTATGGGGAGGCTTTAGTTTTTCCCGCAGTGTCTCCTCTGAGCATTTATGTCAGCTTGAACAAACAGTTTTCCTTGTTTTAAATTTCTTTATCAGTCAAATGGTTGGATGGGATATAAAGTTCCATTTTTATATAGTTACTTTGACAATTTCATATATGTATATTATCTATTCTCGTTTCTCTCTCCCAACCTGCTCTTATCACCCTATCACCCTTGCCAACCTCCCTCCTCCCTACTTGTTCTTTTCTTAGATTCTTGACTTTTGGTTTTGTTGTGGTACTCATGTGGTTTAACAAGGACCATCTGTGTGACCACTGGATTGGGAATATCCACTGGAGCCTAGTGGAACTTCATATAGTCAGTCCTAGGTGTAAATGAGTCATAACAAATATCTTCTAAATGAAGTTTAAAAGGAGAAATAAAATAGACAACATTCTTCATTCAACCTTTGGTAAATATGTATTAATTATGCAGAAGGTGCCAGCAACTGCACTAGGAAGTGGAAATTCAAAAAATAACCTGCTATGTGACATGAGGGCTCACATTTTAATACAGAAACAAAGAAATGTGGGTTGGAAGTGTAAATGAAGGACTCTAACTGCCTGATAGGAATGTGTGTAGTGAACATATAAGGAGTGTTTCAGAGAAACCTGTCTAGTTCTATAAACTCAAACTGAATTTTGAATAATAAAATATTCACAGTTAAAGGTGATACAATTATATTTTATAATTATTCTCTTTACTAAATGTTATCATTTTAAAACATATTCTTCCCTTTATAATTTATAACTCTTTTTGTCCTATTGTTTTCCCTTTGGGTGCAATGTCTTCTTCCATTTTAATTTTGGAAAACATGTTTATTATCTATGATTTGTTAATATATCAGCAATTCAGCAGGTTGGAGAGTGTCCTTTTCAAGTGCCTCAGTTGGTCTGAGACTCTCCTAGGCAGCTCAACTTGTCTCTGCTTCTTTCAGGCCGATAGACTTATCTGAGACTGGTTCTGAGAAGTTCTTACTGCTTCTTACTGTTTGGGGAGGGGCCCCAGTGACTCTGATCAGTTTCAGAAACTTACTGGAGATATTTTAAGGTGTTGACTTCCTGTCTTGAGCTTTCTGGTAGGATAGAGTCTTTCACTTCCCTGAAACATCCTATCTTGAAGTATCCTGTAGTTTCACCTCCATTTTTATATCATGTGCCTTAGGAAGTTTCCTTCTGAGATGGAATGCTTTAACCTTGGAGGAGACTGCCGTACAACAAGTACATATTCAAGAAAGTGCATATATAGGTGTTGTGCTCTATGAATTTTCATCAGACAAACTCCATGTACCCAGCATCCAGGTAAGAAAAAATAAGATTCTCAGAGGGCCCTTTCTATTTATTTATTCTATTTATTTATTTCTATTTATCTATTCCATTCTATTTATTCACCACCTCTTCTATAAGCATGGCTGGTATGCACACTTGTACCACTGCATGCTGAATTTGTTTCCCCTATATTAAAATGGAAATAAATACAATCATATCATATTTAGTTTGAGATCAGATCCCTTTATTAATTTTAGTGGTTTTTCTTGACACAAGGTCTTGCTACATAACCTTTTCTGGGCCCCAGTTCACTTTGTGTAACAGGTTAGCCTTGAATTCTGCTTCAACTTTCAGAGGGATGGTGTGAAACCCCACCCCCAGATTACTTATTGAGATTTGTATAAGTTATTGTGAAAAATATAATTTGTTCTTAGTACTTTACAGTAGTGAATCTTTACATGTGATTTCCTTCAACTAGCAAAAGAATATCAGAAAGGAGTTGGGCAGTTAGTTCCTTTAGTGCACTCAGCAGGGCACTTCAATGGAAGACACTGAATCTACTCATCAAGAATGGAAACTCTGAGCATCTGAGTTCTTAGCACAAGTAAATGGTGTATCTCCATGGAGAATGAGCTTATATTCTACAAATTAGAGCATTACGATGGGATGAGGTTTTCTAACTTTCCCAACCTATAGTTCTTACAACAGTGAAAATGCTGGACAGTTTGCAGCTCAAAAGGGATTGGCAGACATTTTAAATGTTTCAGAGAATGGCAAGTTCCCCTCATAAATGAAGAAAAATAGACTTTATCAGGCCTTAATGTGATATAAAAGCTCAACAGTGTACCATGTTGTGGAAACACAAACAACAGACTATGACCAATGCATCAAAGAGAGCACAGGATGCAAGGAAGGATAAGGACAAAAGTACAAGGAAGACAAAACAATGTGGTAGGTGGCTCTGTTAGAAGAGATACCAAGTTCAGATTTAGTGCATGCATTAAAGGCATTGTGAGTTCAATTTTTAACTGGCTTGCTTTTTGAAACACTCTAGAAAAGTCAGTTGGTTGATACTTCTAGGGATGTTTTCAAAATAGATTTAAACATTTGTATTGCCAAGATTATGCATTCTCATGAGAGATAAGATTTCCTTCTGAGGTGAGCATTCAAATTTACTCATGTTGAGAATTATTCATTTAATAAATATGAAAAGACTAAGTAGAAATAATAATTCCCAACTATATTTCTTACATACCCAATTTATCTTGTACTTGTATTATGAGTGGCAACTAGTTACTTTCTTTAATTAGTACTTTCATACATCTCAAAGTGAACCAAGAAGGCAGATTTATTCTTTAATCTATGTGTTTCCAAACTCTTGACATGCTGCTATGTTGCTGTTGCATACAAAGTTCACGTCTGAGAACTGTACAATTGAGATTAAAAATCATACAAATGTCCTCTAAATTTTAAGTAAGTTTGCAATTTTGTGTTTGGCCTCATTCATAGCTATCCTGGGCTGTAGGTTGGTTATATGTGCCACACAAAAGACGTTAGATAGTTTTTTCTTGATATACACAAATATTTTTTCTTTTGTCCATTTTCTTCTAGCCATCAGGCTGTAGGTGGAAGCAGAGTGGTTTTTGGATGTGGAAAAAGTGGATAACTCGAGAGTTCTTTTTGTTTTTGCCTTCTTAAAAGAAATGTCAATAGTCTCATATACTTCATGGTTCATCTGTTTTTTTCTTGAGGGATACACTAATTGAATCTATTTAGAGTCATGTGAGATGAGGCCATATGTGATATTGGCAAATTAATATATAACTACAGCAGAGATTTTTTAACTATCTGATATTAATTTTTAAACAAATGCATGTTACATTGGGTATTCTGCACAAGGATACTTCTTGGGATCCGTGAAGTGGGATATTGGAAAAATGAATTTTTTAGCCATAAGAAAATGGGACATAGGCATGGAATCTAGGATTTTGTAATTTAGGTTTAGGAATTATCATATATATGAATTCTGTGTTTATGATTCTTAGAAATAGTCACCTACCTATAACCCTTTATACTTTCTATTACTTTATCATTCATTTCTTATTTGAGTTTTGAAATGATAAAAAGTTACAGGCACTGTTTACTACCTTTATTAAGGACCAATTCATATTGATTGTGTTATATTTGTTTTCTGTATATTATATATAAATCATCTGAGTAATCTGATAAGATACATTGTATTATGTCCAATTTATAGCTGAAGAAATTGAGGCTTGGAGATTTTAGGGAACTGTTGACCATGTTGCTATTGTGTAGGCAACTAAAGATACTGAGAGTTCATGAGATTAGCAATCCTACTATGTCCAGAAGACAGTTTTGCAAATATGCTTTAGAATGATTTTAGTAGATCTTTAATTTTATTTATATATTTTTACAATTATGCACAATATTCTTTCATTAATGTTCCTGCATTATTTTCTCTTCTCTTTTCTTTCTTAACAAATTTCTTTTTCTTCCTAAATGTGACTCTTTCTTTTACATGTGCATATGCATGTTCCTTTTTGTAACCTGGGGCATTTAATTAGGGTTTCCTGTATGAACATGAGTTGGGAGAGTTATTCACTTGAGTAGAAACAATGTGCCAATGGCCATAGCACTGAAGACTATAGCTCCCACTTGTCTTGCAACCTTCAGCTGTCTGTAGCACTTTTGGGGAAGTGGAGTCTTATGAACCCCCCTCCTCCACCCATGATGGATTGTTAATGCCCTTAGTCTTGTGCAGGTAGCCATTGCTGCTGTGAGTTCCCATCCAGAAAACAGTATTTTACAATGCTATTTCCCATTCTCTAGATCTTACATTCTCTTTTATCTCATCTTCAGTGAAGTTTCCTGGGCCTTGGAGGGATGAAATTTGCAAATACCTGTAGCTCAAGCTGGCTTCAAACTCAATATGTTGCCAACAATAATCTTGAGCTTGTGATTCTCCTGTCACTATCTCAAGATTGCTGAGATTATAGATTTGTACCACATGCCCATCTTAAAGAGCGCTGAGATTTGAATCTAGGATTTCAAATATGCTAGCCAAACACTGGTTCAACTGAGCTACATCTCAAGCTCTTTAACAAGGTTTTTGTCCCATCAGATTAGATATATATATATATATATATATATATATATATATATATGTGTGTGTGTGTGTGTGTGTGTGTGTGTGTGTGTGTTATATATATATATATATATATGAGAATTTTCAGTTAAAAGATCTAAATTTTAAATCAGTTCTTTAGTGTAGAATCACTTACACAAGGATCCTGTAGGCTTTCATTTTGTGATTTGTGAAATTGGTATAATCCTAACCTCTGGCTTACCTTCTATTTAAACTTGAAGAAATGCCATAAACATAAGCGATAATCAGAAACATAAATTATTTGATAGATTCCATTAGGGAAGAATATGGTGATTGGTATTTTATTCCACTCATCTTATTGTCTCTATCTTTGTCAAGATCTTCTTGAATGATGGTATATTTGCCACTAGCCTTGGAATAGTACATAGTATTTTATCCATATAAAATTTTCATTTCTATATGATACATTCTTTGCTTCTACTTTTCTTATAGTTGCTGTCAGAGTTACTTCTTTAATACAATATCAAAATTTGTATGTGTGAGAGGAAAAGAGTTATAACAACAAATGCAAGAGAGGAAAACTTATAAATAAGGAAACAGAAATAGAAGTTGGATACTATTATTCCTCCCTGGAAGTCAATGAATGAATTTAACATTGATAGATTGTAGGCAATGATATTCACAAATAAGACAGCATGTACCCCTAGGCTTAGCTTGAGAAGCCAACAGTCTCTCCTATGAGATTTAGGAAATTTATTCTATATGAACCTTGGAGATTGAGATGATGCAATCACCTTAAAGACTACTTTAAAATTGATTTGTTTAAGCTACTGATTAAGTTGAAGTTTTATTTATTTGTTTTAACCATGTTAGTGCAACCAGTGATGTGAATTCAAATCCTCTGAGATTTTATTCTAAGCATTGCCACAGACTCGGTCCTGGACAGTCTCTTGAAGATTTCTTCATTCACATGGGAGACAGGCTAAGATAAGGCAGAAAAAGTATGCTGCCAAGTTAAACATTATTCTGTAACCTGGTTAGAATAGCTCAGAGGAGCCTTTTATTTTCTATATGAAGGAATAGTAAAAATAGACCATTCAGGTGGTCTTCAAAAGTCTACTGTAGAGGCTTGAGCCTGGGAGAGTAAGCTGAGAGGAACTATACAGTTGACTTAAATAAGCTTTGGTTTACAGACTAGGCTCTGGGGACTAGGGAAGGAAAATAAAAAAGAATAACTGAGTTTCTGATCTCAAATATTCTTATTTTTCAAGTGAGGAAGATAAGAAGGGTTAAGCTGCTTACTAGGTGAAAGAAAATATTTGTTTAATAATTTTATTATTTGTATGGGGGTGGTGGGTAGGTGTGGGTGTATGTTAAGCACTTGGAGTTACTCGAGGTCTTCTCCAATTTCAGGGCAATCTTTCATAATTCTTATTCAAGGTTTGTGTCAGTGATATCCTGGTTGTCTTAATCTTAGTATCTTTGGTCTTTCTTTTAATTTTTAATCCAAGGCAACTAGAAATTTATTTCACAAGCATTTATTGGGGGTCTTCCTCATGTCAGGACTTATACTCTCCATAAGTGATGCAATGTTAAGCAAGAAAACATAGTATGGTTATGTGAGTTTATTGCAGAGGAACTATCTTTTCCTAAAAGTTATTTGCATTTATGCAAATTCAATAGAATGCATATTTTGGAATCATAATGCATAAAGATTCAATCTTCTGCAATGCATACCTTCTCTAATTCAAATTGCCCAGGAGAAAAAGCATATTACATTTTGTAAGATGGTGAAGGCCAGTTGTTTCCCTTTCACATTTCTTACTGAGGTTGCCTAAAGAGCTAAAGGCAAAAGTCAGCTTGCAGTTTTATAAATTTTTGTCCTTGAGGCTTAAAGGAGAAATGA